CAAAACATCATGAGTGGAATACAGCCAAACTTTTATCTCTAATTTTACAGATCAACATAAGCGGTTGATGAAAAAGAAGCCGGGCGGCAAGCGGCAGCGGCAGAACTTTGTAGAGGGTTGGGTCGAGTTCAGGGACAAAAGGCTCGCTAAACGGATCGCCCTGTCTCTAAACAACACACCAATAGAGACCAGGAGGCGTAGTCCGTTCTATGGAGACTTGTGGAGCATAAAGTACCTGCATCGCTTCAAGTGGACCCATCTGAGCGAGCAGCTTGCTTACGAACGAGCTGTACGTGAGCAGAGAATGCGGACTGAGATCCTTCAAGCCAAGAAGGAGACCAAGTTCTTCGAGGAAAGTCTTGAGAAAAGTAAAGCTGTGCAGAAAATTGAAGAAAAGAAGAGGAAGAAAGGAGAGGAAGTCAGCAGTCGTCCAGGCAGAAACTTTAAGCAACAGAAAACAGAAGAGGAAATCAGGCAGTGGATGCAAAAGAAAGAAAAGGAAAGAGAAAAGAAGAAAAAGCCGAAAAGCAAAAAGCCAACAATCGAAAATGATGTTATGCAGAAAATATTTGAAGGTGGGCCAGTATTGGCTGAGAAATGAATTTGATCCCTGATAAGTATCTGTGGGCTCTTGTTGTAAGTGGTGCTTATTAAATCAAGACGTTTACTCACTTAAGCAATGATCTAATTTGGCAACAGAAATTGAATTTCTTGGTCTTGGTCATGGCCTTTTCAGCCAGCCTACATAATGGTGGGGAAAATCCCAAAGCACTGAAGTAGAATTATTAGAAGTAGAATGGTGGTACCTTTTGGTTATCTTGACTATAGTATGAAATTCAGAAATGTCCCCATATTTGAGCAGTCTATCAACAGCTCTTTTTGCCTGTAGGTCAACTAGGATTTAGTTGATTTTTGTTTGGACAATGCCAAAACCTTGCATCTTCAAATGATGGCGTGCATGGAATCTTGGCTGTCCTTTCACTTCCAGAAAATAAACAGTAAACCCATTGGCATATTTGACAGGTCACAGTGAAGAAACACATAGGTTGTCATGGAAGACATCAATTCTAAGAGGCATTTAGGTAACATATAGCTCAGTCATTTATATTGACAAAGTTTAAGGTAACAGATATCGGGATTAAAGGATAATCACATACTGGACAAAAGCAGTAATTTCTGTGAGTGCTGCAACATTGTACCCGTGACCTTTCCCACATTAGCTAGACTGAATGATGACTGATTTTCGCAGACTGGACTTTGCCTCCCAGACGTTTTGTATGTGATCCTCTGATAAAAATCACAGAGGTTTATGTGATCCTGCAGTGATAAAAGTCACCGCTGCATGGAGATGATTGACTCTGACATATTTGGGGGGACC